AGATAGATAGATGATAGGTAGATAGCAATTTGTACCTATGCAATACATTTGTTGTATTTTTCTTAGTAGAACAATAGACTGAAGGAAACTTTGGTAAGCTTCAGCTTGCTTTTTATGCCTGGTTGTTCTTTATTGCCATATGTCTTGAAATTTCCAGGAAATACATCTTTTCCCCAAAGTTAGAGGCAAGCTTGCTATTAGGGTTGTGCTTAGTCATGGGATTGGTGCTCTTTGCATATACTTCGTGAAGATAGCTCTTAGTGCTGAACCCCTGTGAGTAGCTCTGTGTATGGATGTAAATGTTGCCACAGATGGACTATAAGAAGTCTGATTTTGAAAACAAGACTTACATGGTTACCCAGTTTGGGGTTTTAAAACTATCTTTACCTTTATAAATAAATTACATAGTTCATTCCTAACATCTTTATAAAATTTTATACATATTATAAAATTTCAGACACACTAGTATGTAAATAAATTCAGAGGCCAAGTTTTGGTTATCCTATAGTATAGGAGTATGGCCTCAAATTCACAGAGATCCGCCTGCCTCTGCCTCCCAAGTGCTGGGATTAAAGGTATGTGCCACCACTCCTGGCCCCCTATAGTGTCTTTTTAAAAAATATTTTATGTATCTTTTTTATATTATGTGTATAGTATATTGCCTGCATGTATGTGAGTGAACTTGTATTGTGCAGTGCCCACAGAGGTCAGAGGATCCCCTAGAACTGGAGTTATGGATGGTTGTTAGCTGCCACCTGGGTGTGGGGAACTGAATCTGGGTCCTCTGCAAGAATAGCCAGTGTTCTTAACCGCTGAACCATCTCTACAGCTTACAGTATCTTTTTTTCTGAAATATTTAAAGAGCATGTTTATAATTAACTTATCTGTCAGGAATGAAATATATGAAAATGCTTTGAGCATCTGTTGTTGATCCTCACTGTGAGAGCATGTGACCTTAGAGATTCAGACACTTAAAATTTTTTTCATTTATTTATTTTTATTTGATGTGTATGTATGCCTGCATGTATGTAAGTGCACCATGCCATTGCAATGCCCATAGAGGCCCGAAGAGGGCATCTGATCCCTGGAACTAGACTTATAGATGGTTATTAGCCACTGTGTGGGTGCTAGGAAACAGATCTGGCTCCTTTGGAAGAGCAATAAGTGCTCTTAATGGCTAAGGCATCTCTCCCCCTTAATTTCATTAAAAAATATTATTACTGTGCCTGCGTGTATTATGTATGTTTATGAAGGCATGGCCCCTGTGTGTGGAAGTCAGAGAACAGCTTTTGGGAGTTGCTGCTTTCCTTCCAGTGTATAGGTCAGAGGACAAATTTCAGGAATTGGTTGTCCCCTTTCACTGCTGGTTTCAGGGATCGAACTCAAGTTGAAGGCTTCCCCACAAGCAGTTCTATCCACTGAGCCATCTTGAAGGCTTCCACGCAAGCAATTCTACCCACTCAGTGAGCCATCTTGAAGGCTTTCTTGCAAGCAATTCTACCCACTGATCCCTCTTACTGGCTCCCCAAATGTCCTTTAAATCAAGCCTTCTCATTAATTGTAGCTAAATTTTAAAATCCTGGCTTCTCTAATTAGCAAATTACTATTATTTCAAAGTTACCATTTGCAAATCACAGTTGTTGGAATTAGATGAGTAGAAAAAAGTTTTTAGAGACATTTTAAACTGAGACTTCAAATTTAGAGGCCAAGAAATGACTTCTCAAGAGTCTTTTTTTCAGGGGCTGGAGAGATGGCTCAGTGGTTAAGAACACTAGTTCTTGCAGAAGACCCAGGTTCGAATCCCAGCACCCACATGGCAGCTAACAACTGTCCATAACTCCAGTTCCAGGGGATCCAACAGCCTCTTCTGTTCTCCACAGGTATTGCATGACATGGGTGCACTTACCTACATGCAGGTAACACATGCATACACATAAAAATAATAAAAAAAAATTTAAAAAGAGTCTTCTTTTCTATTCTCTCTATGGCAATCCTGATTTTTCTGTGTGATTTTTTCAGAACACTTTCAAATGCACTGCTTCAGTCAATTGGCATGACCACAGTTACCTTTTGATAGCTAAAGCTTTGCAGTGAGTAGGAGAGGTCTCACTGGTAGTTTACCCTAAAGTACTTTGATTCCTGACCCACAACCCTTTGTTCCATATAGATTTGTCACCAAGATGACATACATGAGGCCTCCACCCTTCTCAAGTAGTTTTACTAGAAAAACATTTCTCAGGTCACAGAGCCAGCCAGGGGTGAATGAGAACTTAGAAAACACCTAGTCCATTCCCTTTTTTATTCTATACAAGAGAGAAATAATCCCAGAGAACAGACCACTTGTCGCTGGGGACACCACATGGCTGTGTTAAAGGTCAAATTCACTGAAATGTCTCTTCTATGATGCATAAAGTAATTAAGCATGGGCAATGGGGAAGCAGTTTAGAGATGCCTCGTCCTTTCACTATGGGATGGGCAGTACCACAGGGATCATCATAATAGGGAAGAGCAGTGTCATATTTAGCCTCAGCTGCCAACTTGAAGCAAACCCAGAGTCACCTGGGAAGAAGGAAACTCAGCTGAAGAATTGCCTTGGTTGACTTGGCTTGTGGTATTTTCTTAATTGCTAATTGACATTGGAGGCCCAGTCCGCTGTGGACAGTACTATCCTTAGGCAGGTGGGCCTGGGTATATAAGAAATGTTGTTGACCAAGCCAAGGAATAGCAAGCCAGTGAACATTTCCCTGTGGTTTCTGCTTCAGTTCCTGCCTCCAGGTACCTGTCTTGAGTTCCTACCCTGGTTTCCTTCAGTCATGGACTGTGACCTAGAAGTATAAGCTGAAATAAAGCCTTCCCTCCCCAAGTTGCTTTTGGTCAGAATGTTTTATCAGAGCAACAGAAAAGCAAACTAGGACAGACAGAGAATAGAAGTTCTTAGAAGAAAGCAAAGAAGTCTGATGAAGATTGCTCATCCTAATTTGAGAAGAAAATTATTGTGAGAAATAAATTTCTTTTAGAATCATGGACTAAAAAAAGGAGCAATTTGTGTAAATTAGACAAGATCAGTTATTTGGGCACAGTTGGGCTACTTCATCATAAACTAGCCTTCCAAAACCCTGTCTTATCCCTGTACCCAGAGTTCAGTCCTCCACTGAAGTCATCCTGGGGAGGCGACAGGGATTATGTTGCCAAAGTAGGGAAGGTGTGTCTGAAAAGCAAGCTTATTGAGTGTGGGGGAAAAAGAGGAAAACACCACAAGAGTCAGCCAGGAAGCAAAAGGAAAGGTAAAATAAGTCACAGCTTCTGTAAATCCATTCAGCTTTGAGATGACAAAAATGGATGCAATGGGCGGCTGGAGAGATGTCTCAGCAGTTAAGAACACTGGTGGTTCTTGCAGAAGACCTGGGTTTGAATCCCAGCACTGTAACTCCAGTCCTGGGGATCTGACAGCCTCTCCTGACCTCCACAGGCATTGCACAACATGGGTGCACTTACCTACATGCAGGCAATACACGCATACACATAAAATAAAAATAATAATTTTTTAAAGTGAAAAAAAAATGGATGCAATAGCTAGCTCCTGCTGTTTACAGAGAAGCCTGACACAGAGCCCACACCATAGTCTGAGCACACCTGTGTTCTTACCCATGTTCCCTGGGTAACAACAAACGGTCCAGCTTCACAGGTGCCAGGTGATTAGGCTTTTCCCACACCCAAACTCTCCCAGCAATAAAGCAGGACTGTGAACAATTTGGGATCCACATCATATAGTGAGGTGAAGAGATGAATTACCCAAGGAGAGAGATCAGATTGAGTCCTTTGTGCTGGAATTCTTTGGTGAGAAGTGCTGAGTGGACCATTGTGGTAGAGGAGAACTTATTTGGGCTCACTCACGACTCAGCCTTACTTAGCTCTGGTGCATGTCAGCATCAGGCTTATACCTACCTTTAAAGCTTTTTTAAATACTCAAGAGTTGGGCCCATCCCTGACTTCAATATGTTGAGCTAATGCAGGTTTTGCTACTGTCCTAAATCCCTGATATTTTTGGTAGAGACTCACTCTCCTTGTTGTGACACAGCCTGAGAGCAACATAAAATGTACAGTCAGCCCTCTCATGAGCGCTCTTTCTTCAAAGTCAGGCGATCTAAAAAATTCTAAAAAGTTTATTTGGAATGGAGTCATTGGTCGACAAGCATAGGTGATGTGCTTACCCTAAGCTGTCAACAAAGTTGCCGAGTACAGCCAGAACAGAGACACTAGCTGCATATCAGAGGTTTAAGAAGACTCTACGGGACAAATGATATCTTATCCAAGAGATGGGATTAGACTAGATAGAAGAGTTAGCTTATAAGACAGCATTGAAAAGTCATAGGTGTTAAAATTTAGGAGAGCCGTGAGATCAGTCTTGGAGAAAATGGTAATTAACTGCAGATAAATATAACTTGAAAATGAAGCAGTCCAAAATTTGTTTTTCAGACCATTCTTTCTACAAGCTTCTCCTTGGTT